GGGGCGCCCTCTCTGACGAGAGGACGGGTCTGTCTTTTATATATGCTGCTGGTCCTTACCAGCGCGGTCTTTCTCGGGTCCGAGTCCCTTGGGACTTGCGACCATATTTTACTGTCTCAGATTTGAGACTTCCCGTCGCCTCCTACGACTCGTAGGGTCATGGTGGAGATATTCGACCCCGCCTCCACACGGGTACATAAGTACACGGCTTACACAGACAGACATGATAATAAAAAACGAGGAATATAAACTAAAATCTATTCTCATGAAGGGAAAAATTTAATTTTAAATGACATTGTTTTAAAATAGGGCTCAAAGCCGCACTGTGTTCAGCTATTTACCCCCCACTTGGGTGAGATATTGACAAGGTAATTAACTAACGTCAAAGTAATGTTTGGCGGAAACTTTTCCTTCAAAGTAGTTTAGGACTGAAAGGGGATTTTTAGCTGAAAATTGCACATACAGCATTATGACGTCAGGTATGTATGTAAGTATATAATATTCGAAGTTGCAAAATGAAGACACAAGTTGGAGAAACACGACTGCAGCAAAATGAATACAAAGGGTTTGTTTCTTCTGCTGGTAGTAGCTATACTGCTTTTCATTTCCACAGGTAGGAATAATAATTTTAATGAAGTTTTGATGAGTATTTAAGTCATATCCGTGTTTATAATGATACCGCGACCAGGCCGAATTTCATGCAGCCTCTAATGGATTAAAACCAACCTTATCTGTATATAGCTCACCGATTTCATTGACGAGGATTTAGAAACCCAGTCATAATCAGTATAACCATCACTTTTGACATTGAAAGTTTAACTGTTCGTAACGGTTATCAGAGGAAGTTAATCGAAAGTGGCGTTTTATGAAGTTAATACTGTGTCTTCTTGCTTAATGTGACAGTTGTGAACAGAACGTGAAGTCAAGCTAATCAATTTTATGCATGTAACAGAAGTATATCCACAATTTGTAATGATGGTCATTCATGTTTCACTTTCAGAAAGTCTTGGTTAAATTCTAGCTTAAAGCACACATATATGTCTTTATTTTTTTTTTTAATTTATAAATTCCTTGACTCAGTAAACTCGTACATAGCATCGACTAATGTAATGATTTGTGATAGCTAATTTTAAAGGATGTGGAAGGAAGCAGCAGTTACCTAATTTCAGGCATACCATGTTATTTGTACGGATGGCCTGAGAAGAATCACGGAAACCATTGTCAGTATGGCCGGTCTCCTAGCCTAGATTTACAACATTTCCTTTAGCTGTCCGAATGGTACGAATGACACAATCTCGACCCTCACTGTATAAAAAGCACATTACTATTGTGGCATGTAGATCCGTTGCTAGGCGACGACCGCGAAATAAGCAACTATGCAACAACCGTTGCTAAGTAATGGCTTTGCAAAGAACGGCCGTTGCTATGCAATGACTGAGTATCGATCACGTGGGCATCCCAACAGACACAAACGCAACAATTGCACAGCAACAGAGAAACAGTGTTTTGTGCGGTCCGTGTTCGTGAAGCAGATTTACGCTAGTTTCTCATGAAGACAATATACAATTGCTGAAGAGAATACTTGGATGTGAGACACAGGAAGCTAGAGAAAATTCCGCAATGAGGAGTTTCCCAATTTGTATTTCTCACCAAATACTATTAGGGTAATCAAATCAAGAAGGGTGGTATGTTTGAGACGTGCAGTACATACGACAGAGGTCAGAAGTACATACAAAAATTTAGTCCGAAAATCTGAACGGAAGAAATCGCTAATATTCGAGAGACACATAATTTTCATTTCGGCTAGTTACTAAATTTTCTGAAATTCTTTGTGCTTTTCTTCGAACTCTGCAAACTGGTATAGTACATACAGTATATGCAAGTCTTTCTCCTTTTAATTCTTAGATCCTCGCCCTTCACGATAAATTTCCCTTCCCACTTGAATTTAAATAATCTGCGCAGTTGGAACGGAGTCCTTTAAGAACCCAATAATTAATCACACGAACGTTTGTTTACCTGTTTGTTTTCTTTACTTGCAGGTTCGAATGCATCTCCGGCTCCGAAGCCTCATTACGTAAGTGGATGGTTTACCTTAACGCACTTAGATGCAGACAAACGTGGTGAAACGAACTGCAGGAAGCTTCGGTCACAGTGCCACTACGCTGTATTACGTACAGTAACGGATGTGTAAATCACGCGAACACTCACGTTTGTGCACACATTTCTGAAACTCCGGGGCCCTCTGAACTGAAACTTCGCTTCGAACCGCAGGCCTCATATTGAACGTCCCTGATCATCTTTTAGTGCCTCGTTTCATGCTTGAATATCATTGCCTTGCTCCCGATCATTAAAATCTAATTCTATATTATTTAGACTGCTCTTCATTGTTACACCCCAAAGGCGCTGGTTCAATCCCAGGACAATCCACATGGGACTTTTCGTGGAAAAAGTAACACTGGGACAGATTTTTATCAAAGTACTTGATACTTCCGGGGCACGGGGTAGCGTAGTTGGTTGAGGGGCTATACTACAAGCCGGAAGGTCGCGGGTTCAAATCCCGATGAGGTTCTTCCAGCCGCACTATGGCCCTGGAGTTGATTCAGCCTCTAACAGAAATGAGTACCAGGAATTAATTAAATAATTTTCCTGGGGAGCAAAGCGCGGCCGGCTCGTAAGGCTGTCAACCTTACCGCCATCTTTGAGCCGATTGTCTAGATAATGTGGGACCCTCAGCGTCTCAGAACCCTATGGGCCTTCACGGCCTGGTACAGGGATAACTTTACTTTACTTACTTGATACTTGTGTCATTCGAAAGATGCTAAGTACTCATATTTAGGGTTGCAGTAGCAAGTACCTTCACCCTATATTATTATTATTATTATAATTGTAGTGTCTAAGTAACATACTTGAAAGCCAGTCTCTGTAGCCTATTCCAAAAAAATTAAGCTAAAGCGAATAATCATGCAACCATTTCTGAGAGTTTTTCCTGATATTTTTTCAGCTTCTAAGTTTTCGACCCATACTAAAAGGAAGGTACTGATACCCAGTTATATTCATATTGTTCCACACAAAGATCAGATCATGTTAATAGATTTCGATATAAATAGAAACGCATAACTGCATAATTCTACGATAAATTGTATGCGTTGAAAACAGATACTGACTCGGGTCAGGAAATGTCTAAAAGGGAAAGGATTAAAAACGCTGAAGGATACACAGACTCTACCTTTAGTTAGTGAATTTCCTTACAACTATAAGTTAAAATCTCCCTTATAGTAATTAAATATAAATATATGTTCAACGGTTTACCTGCTTAAAGCAGGTCACATGCAGAGGGAAAGACATGGCATCAACATAACCCGCTCTTTCTGCTTTATAAAGAATCACCTAAAATGAACCCTCCCCTGATCCCCATTAACCGGAAGGTGGCTGTGTAATTCCATACGCATCTGGAGCCCCGATACCATCCAAAACGAATTACTGGAAAATTATGCCTGAATTTCGTTGTAATCTCTTTTTTTTTTTTTTTAATAGTGGTGGAGAAATCCCGCCTACGGACCACGTTACCCTTTCCAGTCACGGGGACATCATGATGGCCCAGGACAACGCCTTTGCGGCTCAACTAGGGCAACAGTGACTTCAACATCCGCTGAACCAGGGTCTTCGACAGTCGCAACCGTCGCAATTACTGCTCCTACGGCCACTTCTCTCCCCCCTACTGTTTCAGTTTCTCCATGAGGACGGTAATTGGACCGAAATGAGTTTCGCGTTATGCCATCACCACCTGAAGCTCTTCACCTACGCTGAGAAACATTGACCTGAGAAGAGGCGAAACCCCGTTTCAACAACTACAGAGATATACATTTCGAAAATATGTAGTACGTATTACTTAATAAAGGAGAATACACTGTCAGTTATGTAATAATAAATCATCCAGTTATGCATTACGTATATTGATACTGATTTTTTCTTAAATTCCCAATCCTGTATACTTGTATATTCGTCTCATCTTATGTGGCCGATTCGAATATAAGCCAAGAAGCCACCTACGCTGACATAATTTTCTTCCTGCAAACATGTGCTGGTACAGTACTTTCAAATAAACTTACTGCCACTTCTTTTCACATCCTTTCCAATTCATTATTCGGTCTTATCCAAATATCCGACATCATGTAGTCCAATTTACTGACAAAAATAAACAAAAGAAATCCGTGACTTGTAGTCCGCAAACGAACTATACCGACCTAGCGACCGCCGCTTGTCGGCGAAGTTAGTGCCTACTTTTGCGGATAAAGGTCTTGTGGTCACTGTAACGGATCCTTACGACCGTTAATCTCGGTTTTCTAGACCGGAGCCGCGACTCTTCCATTCAAGTGGCTCCTAAATTATCCTCGTGATGCTGAGTGGACCCCGTTCCAGACCAACTACTTCTCAGAAATTCTGGTAGAGCCAGGAATCGAACCCGGGACCTCTGGATCTGTAGCCAAGAACTCTGAGCACTAGACCACAGAGGTAGTCCAAGTTACCGACAGCTTCTATAAATAGAGCAGAAATATAATAACAGCATTCATCCAACTACTCGTATGCTTTAATATTCTAAATATCCCTTCGCTTGAGGTTTTCCACCTATAAGCTGAGCACGCAATTCTTATCCCTGGCATGCACACCATAAATTCCACTCATTTCAGCTTCCTTGATTGGCTCATCCTAACATTATTAGGTGAAGGGTATAACCTATAATTGTGTAAATTTTCCATTTTTCTGTTTGTTCTCTATCTTAGCTTATATGTGTATATAGTTTGTAAAGAAAACAAATTATACTCCTACAGTAGTAGTTAAAGAACCTTCGGGTTCCGTAAAAACGGAAAATTTGTTGAGTAATTTAGCAATTAACTTTTGATGGAAGACCCTGTACACCAAAATCACCAGAAGTGGTTCACTGTATTCCGACAAATGAAATTAAAGCAGTGCCACAACATTACCAATAGCACATACAGCCTAATAATTATAAATTAATCTGGTTTCCCCCACACACCTCTCTGCATTGAGGTGGGGTAGCTCAGTCGGTGTAGCTGGACGACAGAGGTTCGATTCCCGGTAGGCGCAACGGATTTTTCTCTACTCCACATCGTCCAGATGGTCCAGACCGACCCTGGGGCTCACCCAGTATCCTATCCAATGACAACCGTGTACTCTTTCCCAGGGGCTAAAGCGGCAGGGGCGTGAATCTGACCACTAATCTCCATCTAGTGCCGAGGTCTAGAATGGTGGACCTATACCTCCGCTTCCCCATACGTCTTAACTGTGAGGTGTTCAATTAATTAAGGACAGGGACAACTTTACCTTTCCTTTTCCTGTGTACACAATAAAATTGTGATGATGCTGCATGAGGGTTGTGGTAACAGAATATGCAGATAGAGCGCAGCACGCACTGGTTGCAGGTAGTAATAATTCTGTCGGCTGCAGATCTACCATTACTGTCTCGAATTTTATATTGTTTCAGTATTGGATGACCGCCTCTGTGGTCTAATGATCAGAGTTCCTGGCTACACATCCAGAGATCTCGGGCTCGATTGCCGGGGCTACCAGATATTCTAAGAATTACTGGGTCTGGAACGGGGACCACTTAGCTTCGTCATGATAACTGAGGAGCTATTTGAATGGAAAATTATAAGAGTCTGTCTATAAAACCGAAATTAATGGCCGTGGGGATTTGTTGCACTGACCACGCGACACTCTCTATCCGCTAAAGTAGGCACTAACTTCACCGACAAGCGGCTGTAGCTCGGTCGGTATAGTTCGCTTGCGGACTAAAGCTACGGAGATTTTTTAAGTATTGGATATTATGATTGGATTGTGAGCAAACAAACCGGAACACCTAGTTAATTATGTTATCATAATTTTAGAAGATTATCACCATCATTGAAGCTCACAGTGGCCGCGCGGTCTAAGGCATGAACTGTCTTCGGTCGCTTGAAAGCAGGGATAGTGGGTCCAATTCCCAATCAAGACATGAATATCTGTGTGCGTTTATTCTGTGTTTGTGTTGTTCTGTGTGTAGGTAGCGGCCTTGCGACGGGCTGATCCCTCGTCCAAGGAGTCCCACCGGCTGTGTATAGGATTAAGAACCTGAAAAAGCGGCCAAGGTCCAAAGGACTGTTGAACCATAGACAGAGAGAGAGAGAGAGAGAGAGCTGGTCATCATTCCCGTCCCGATGATTAAATTTGCTTTTTCACCAATTGGTCTTTATTTTGTAATTCAAAAGTAATGCATTCATTGGAAACGTTGTTCATTAATTTGGTTAATAAATTAAAAATAATTTTTGTCAACCCCCTTAGGATAATAAAAGGTGAGAAACAAGGGGACCTTGGTATTTTAGAAGATCCAAGAGGGGAACAAGACGAGAGCGTTTGATTTAAGGAACCGAAATGGAGGGAGAATTGAAAAAGAAGGAAGTGGATAATTTATACATATTCTCAAGTTGTTTTATATTACAGCGTGTCCATAAAAGGAGTTAGTACATTTATAATTTCGTGACGCTGACTTCATTAATTGCATAAGAGTAGAAGGCAGTATGTTAGATAGTCGTGTACGGTATTGGAAAATATATCATGTGACCTATGATAAGGTGCTAAGGCATTTTCATATGAGCGCCCTTTATCACTATGAAGATATTAAGTGAGCTGTTTTTTTTAATGCTCAGATAAGTACATATTTTATGTCAGCGGGAAGCTCGTTAGGCATAGCTCCAGCATATGAAGACTGATAGTATTGTCACATGGATTAGATAATAACGAAACTACAAATACAATGGGAAGATACCGTCCTAATTCTACCAAACAGACCTGAGTAAGACCCCAATACAAGAATTAAAATGATACGTAAGTGAAAAAATATGAGTCACGCCACTGGGAAAACTCGTTCAGGAGCCAGTACTTGTTGAACATACACATTTGTTGTAGATTCTTCAGATTATGTATAATAAATATGTGAAAAAAAACGTATTAGTGACTAGTGTCACAATATACAAGCTATTTTCAAATATGAGAAAAATTCGCCAAAATTTAAGATGTGATTCTGATTGTTACAGAGCAGACCACATGAAATATTATTCTTTGTGGAGTCTACAGTGTTTGCAAGTATATATTTAGATATGTTACAAATTTAAGGTAGGCTGAAATAGTTTCGTACATACGGGAAGAAAGTTTTTCGATTCCAGGCAAGGGAAAGAGATTTTTCTCTGCTCCACAGTGTCCAGACCGATTCTGGGGCCCACTAAACCTCGAATCCAATTGATGTAGGGGGCTCTTTGCCCGGGGGTAAAACGGCTGAAGAACGAAGCTGGTCACTCTTCTCGTTCTAGTGCCGAAGTCAAGAATGGTGGAGCTATACCTCCGCTTCCACAAGCAATTTCATGGCGTGGTTCTTAGATAATCCAGCACAAGAATAATTTTATCTTTTACAATGAGTCACTGTTGAGAGACCCTCAACTTAAATAATCCTATGGGCCGCGCAATAGCTCAAGGGGTTAGTCGCTGGCTTCCCACCGCGGCGGCCCGGGTTCGATCCCTGGTCTGGTCAAGTGGGATTTGTGGTGGACAAAGTGGCGCTGGGGCGGGTTTTCTCTCAGTACTTCGGTTCCCCTACCAATCTTCATTCCACCAAATGCTCCATCATCATAATCACCCGGGGCAGGCTACAATAGGCCAATCAGTGGCCGCCGTGCCGAGTAAATCCAGTTGGACTCCACCCCACACTAAGCGAATTTAAACATTTTAAATTTAATTAGGGATATTCCATTGCAGTATGAAATTCTCTGCATTGTCTTCTGGGAGGTGGATTGAGCTGCGTGGGATGCTTCCTTGGTTTCTGGTCAATTCTAGACTTTGCACTTCTTGAATTATTGCGTGGAATTATGTGAAGGACAGTCAGTGACACTGCTAACTTCGATAATGTTCCTTATTACAGATGATTCTAAACATTTGCGAATATCGGCAAAACCATTCATAAAATAACCTGGTACTGGGTTTCATTTGCGTAAAGAGTGGTACCCATGAACGTGAGAGATAAGAGGATAATATTAAAAAAAAGGAACGTCAGTAAATACGATGTGAACATATCGACTATCCTAAGGAAAGTTTCAGTTACAGAATTATGTTACCACACGATAGGAAACAGCAGGAAAATATTAAAATTCATAATAAGAAATACGTATTTGTTGCAAGAAGTGAACTGGTGTGACACAAGATTCAATGCCGGTCTTCTCTGTTCGGGGTGATCAAATTTATGGTTCCGTAAGAGCAAGTAGAGTCTTCATCACTTGAAAACTTATTCTACGTTTGAATGCCCAGCTTCATGTTACTGCCGTTTCTTGTACAAAGAACTAGCCCCCCATTAACATTAATTGGAAGCCAGAGAAGCGTAGGATATTCCATATCAAGAAATATGCTCACATTAAAACTGAAGAAACGGATTCCTGACCAATTTAATCGGACTGATCTCGTGAAATTTCAAATCCCCATACGTTCTTCTAATTATGCATATAATTATATTTTCGAAAAAGAAATCACATGATTCTGACATAGGTAGAATATAGGTTCATAGTTCCGAATGGTGCCGATCACAGTGGCCGCGCGACCTAGGGCATGAATTGTCTTCGCTCGCTCGAACACTGGGATAGTAGGTTCGAATTCCACTTGAGTCATGGATGTCTGTGCGTTTACTCTGTGTTTGGGCTGTCATGTGTATTCAGATAGTGGCCTTGCGACGGGCCGATCCCCCGTCAGAGGGGTCCTACGGACTGTGTAAAAGATGAAGGAACTGATAAGCGGCCAAGTTTCAACAGAAAGGCTCTAGAGGCATTTATGTATAGATAGACATTGATGGATGTATAGATAAATAGATAGGTGGATAGAGAGTTGGATGGTTGATGAATAGATGGAGAGGTGGA